TTTGCCTGAAACTCTCAGACTGAAGAAGTCTCTTGGAGAAGAGACGAAACGTTTCATTAGAGAAGAACCCGTCCAGAAGACCTATACAATTTTTTTCCTTTTGATTTTTCACCTGGATTACTGAGATGCATCAGGACATGATAAGAAGATAATTTTATTTTCTGTTTAAACATAAAAACAGCATTTTAATAACAACTAAAGGTGACATAGATACTTTATTATGGTATAGTATTTAAATGTATGCCTGAGAAACACATAATATTGCCCCTTTAAACAAACGCTGCTTCTTCTTCATCTATCTCTGATAGTGACCCAAACGTTTATTGTAGCTGTAAAACCATAGCCATGGGGTTCGCTTGATTTGTTGAAAGCAGTGTCTGTTTAATCCTGTATCATTAGACTGGGAGGCTTTAACGAGTCACCAACAGAAAACAACCAGTTTTCTTTCCCCTCATGTTTCAAAATGACGGAAATCTGTCATGGCGATGGAGAACTTTAAGCCCTGTCATTGTCTTACATCACCACCGAACTCCATTCAACTTTTGTATCTTTTTATTTTATTCTTCCTGTAGATTTTTTACTGATGGTCAAAGAATGTTGGGCTTCAGTCAGAAAGGATGTAAGGGGTTTATATATTTTTAGTTTGAGAGAAAGAGGAGACTGATGGCTGATTGCAGTGTTTTTTCCATGAAATTACCTTGTTTTTTGTTGCCTGCAGCTGCAACGCATTTCAAATTGGATGATCATTTTCAGAAAAAAAGTGGTGTATACTATATATCATAACTCTGGTTTTACTTGGCCCATCCACATAATTTAAAAACTGCTGTATAGTTGAAGTCACTGCTTTTGACACGGTTTGTAACAGAGCCTCAGAGTGATTAAAAACGGTCATGTGAATTGATCATGTGACATATTATAGCACTGTTGTGCATCATGTTTATAAGTTTCCTCATATCCATACAACGTTCTGAAATATCAGAATAAATATGAGTGACACACAGAATATTTTACATTACTATCTCAAAACCATTTATCTGAACAGCAGTTTTCCACCACAAAGAAATGAAGGTTGAAATCATTTGACAGATGACATCACATTGATTTCAGGAGTTATAAGGTTTACTGTACCTGTTTAGATGCAGAAAGTGCAGGTAGACTTTAGGTGGTTCTGTGTTGGTCTTTTACCTCCAATAAAATGTTTGGGGCAGACGTTCTTCCGGTCAAACTCGGGTCGTCCCATCGCTCGGACCCAGCTGTTAGCCTGCATCTTAGCTTGGGAAAAGTGACAAAAAATATTCCTTCCATGTGGGAATGATGGCTGTATCCTGAGTTACTGTTACAAGAACTGTAGCACAATGTTTTGGGGTCCTCGTGGCGGAATTTCATGCTGTTTTCTCAAATTTATGCAAGTTTAAACACAGCTAAACCGGCACATGAGAGTTAATATGGTGTTGAGTGGACATGGTCACATAAACAGTGTTCTAAAAATTGCCTGAGTGGATTGAACCCCATTTTTTGTTTTTGTTGGCAGAGTTAAAGTTAGCATAACTAAACTTAGAAGCTAAATCTTCCGCTAATGGTTTCCAACAACGACTATCCACTAAACAAAAAATTAGCTCTGCTATTAGCTTAGCAATTTACACAAACTGTGGCCATCAATAGCTGTGTTTCCATCCATGTTTCTTATGCTCATTTTGAAGAATCACATTAGAAAAGATTGATGAAAATGGCAAAATTTGCAAAAACTTCTTCAATTTCGCAAAAACTTTTTTACGCTTTCTTAAGGTGGTTTTTGGATTTTACGAAAAGGGGCAACGCGCAAAATGGGAGATGGAAACACATTTGCCGAATAAGTTCGGACTTAGCGGACATTTATCTCACATCTCACATGACTGATCAGCTGTTTCTACTGTCCAATAATTGTACCGGCTGCGGCTGCAGTTAGACCCCTCTCTTGATGTTAGTGTTGTCCCAGATATTCCTGTAACTTGAAGGGAGTTGAATTTCTTTCTCTGTCTCCGGACAACATCTACCATGGCCAATACTAGTTGATATGACAGAACAAATGCATTTTGTTTGATAGCAACACATTCCTGATAATTTCTCTCCATTGTCCTGAGTTGTGTGGTCTCTGCTAGTGTACAACTTTACTTCCTGTTTACTACAGCCATTACATCAATGTCTGACATAATTACGCTTTGCATAGGCTAGTTGATTCACTCCAAGACATTTGATGGAAATATGCCTGATTCACATTTGTTTTTTTTTTTTTTTTTTTTTTTTTTTTCCTTTTTGCGACATTTTAAAAGTTTGCTCAAAGTCACTTTAAAATTGAATGGAATTTGCTACCGTTAACCACCAGACTACTGTGTATGCATATATCTCAACAACTGTTCATTTCAGCTGTGTATTTTTGTTTTGTTTTGTTTGGCAATATGTAGTTAATAATATCTTTCCAAGAATGCACTAGTATTTATTACAGAAAAAAATGATGACCTAGGCACACATTTACTTACTTAAAAGTAAAGCAAGAAGGGAATAACAGCACAGCTTTGAAAATGCTCTGAATTCTCACGATAATAAAGCACCTGTTAGTGCACAACTCTTGAATCTGTGCACAACTCTTGAATCTGTTGTACACAAACATCTGCTCCTTCATGTTTTTAATCGGCTTTACAGCATATTTCATCCTGGAGAACAACCTCCCTCTACAATCTGCGCTGGAGTCCAGGAGGACGATTCTGACTGATGTCCGAATGATCACTAACGACAACTTTGGTACAATTTATCTGCATTTAACAGCTGTGTTTGAGATAACCAAACTGTTCAGAGAGAGAGAAACACCTGTTTACCTGTCTGCTTGGCTGCTGTCCTAACCTTTCTGTTTCTGCTCCCCTCAGAGATGCCTCTGAAGCTCATTTTCCCTCCTGACTTCTCTGAGTCCTACATATACGGCCTCCTCCTCATCATGTAAGCCTTCATCACTTCATCTTGTACAGATTTGAACTGAACTCACTCCCACAGCCACACCTGTTTCATAAGGTCAGCCGGCTATGGTAGAAATGTTTAATCAGGTTGACTCCCTAAAGCTAATCAGCTGTAGACCCAATGAGCACTTTCTGAGAGTTTGTGTCCACTGGTTCAACAGAGATATTTTATTTCCAGACAAACAAATACGCACACATTGGCCATTACATGATGTCACCTGCCTATCACAGGAGCGGGTGGTAAAGAGCAAAATTATCTCTAAAATGTGGTGCAGTAAATAAAATAATGAAAGAACAGAATACAATTCTAATTCCCAAAAAGTTGGGCATTCTGATGAAAGCAAAACAAAATACAGAATGCAATGATTTGCAAACCTCATAAACCCATATCTTATTCTCAGTGGGCAATTAGATAAACATCTAAGAAAATTTACATTTTTGGGCAAAAAGGTAATGTTGAATTTTATGACAGCAACACTTCTCTAAAAGGTTGATCCAGGAGCATCAAAAAGCTGCAAAAGTAGGTGATATGAATAAGAAACTACTGGAGGAGCAATTTGTAGCTAATTAAGGTAATTGGCAACAGGTCAGTTAGAGGACGGAGTATAAAAAAAACACAAGTCCTTTCTCAGGTGTGGCTGCAAGCACTTCTCATTCTCGGCCAAATGTCTCTACATTTCCAGTTCCTGTGTGATTTTTGGATCCACCCCAGCCGTGCTTCCAGGCGAGTCAAACTGAGTATTGCACGAAAATGATTTTGACTGTGGTTTGACTGATTAAAGGCGGTACATACTGTACAAACTCTTTCTGGAAAGCCATTTTAAATCCGACTGCAGTGCAGATAAAGGCTGTGTCACATTGCATGATTTTAAAACACTCAGCCGATTTTCAAAGACTGATAGAGCCCACACATGAGGAAAAAAAAAGATTGATATACCAAGTTTGGTCCTACAGTGTGTGGTGTTCAGCCACACACTGTAGGACCCACACTGTACAGCCATGCAGCAAGAGACAACACACCGCACATCAAAAGAAATTTCATTCATGAACGTTCAGATGTCAGATATTAAATCACGTGAGACTTCCTGAAATCTCGCGAGAATTCAGATGTCCGACGAAAAATCTCACGTGACCTCCAGAGAGACGTGAGTTCAGAGTAAATAAACATTTGTGACAAGGAAGAAACAATGTTGATCGTTTGTGGACTATTTTTACCAGAGGAAAAACAATTCCAAATGACTTAACATCCAGCGGACTTTCTGGTGAGTTATGACAGTTTTTTTGTCTTCTGTATTTGGAATCCCCTCTGTGTTTATGTCACCTCGCTTTCTGATTGGCTACACGTCTCATTCAACAGGCTGCGAGCTCAGGTGAACACTACACACACTGTGATATAAGGCCAAAAAATCAAACATGTTGAATATCCCCGATTTGAGGTCGGAGCGGTCCCAATGTCCTTCAGAGTCGACTAGATCACTCTTACTGTAACTCACCACCCACGGCAGGAATATCTGCTCAGATTATCTTTAGAGCCATCACGATAAACTGGACTTCCTTAAGATTGTTGGAAGAGCAAAAATTGGCATGATTATCTTTCCGTGTGACACAGACCTTGGCGCACTGCGAAGCACCGATTATCCCCTGGTCTAACCTTGAGGTGTTTTAATCTATTTTAGGATGAGCACACAAAGCTTGAGCTCAACAGAGCGGTCCGAAACGAGCAGGTATATCAGGAGGTTTAGGACAAACTGGCCGCCCATTGTTACATGTGCAGTGTTGTATAAAGTACCACAAAGTGATACTTGAGTAAAAGTACAAGTATCTTACCATAAAAATATTTTGGTAAAAGTTAAAG